TACTGTGTTCATCCAGCTCTACACCTTGTTATCTCAGATTCTCCAGCATCTGCGGTGCCTGCTATCACTTAGAAATCTACTTGATTTGGAGATAATAACTTTTTGTTGTAATTCAACTTCAGAAAGGTAAACTGATTTGTTCTCCGTTGCTAATTATATTCGTTTGTGTATAGCTGTAACAATCTAATCAGCTAGATTCTTTGAGCAAGAAACAAGTTGAATTTTTGGAAACAAAATTTACTCAATCAAATATTACTAATAAAAGATTTAAACTATGCAACCATTGAGAGCTACCTGTTATAAATAATACACCTTCCAAGCTCTGCAATGTTAATCTTGGAAGTACTTCAGCTAAGTAGCAGTAGAGTTCAGGGAAAAATTTATTGTTGTCCTGATATTAGTGCAGTGATCTCTGCTACAGACCATCAGATATGGTTGGCTGAATTCTTTGTCTGGAGACAGTGGTCATAGATTCCAGAATTCTGGAATTTTTTAAAGAAATTAGGCTGTACCAATGATGACTTCTCCCTGTAGTAACACTTTACCCTGTGGTGATGAGGTCTCCGGTGGGTTTTTAGCTGTGGTCATTGGGGATGATTTCTGAGAAAATAGAGGGTGGGCAAAGGCTGTTATTCCAGGCAAGGGATTTGTGTTCTGTGTTGTCTGTGTTCAAGTCCAATAACTATTAAGCCCACCAAGTGGGTCATGTGTACTTTGTAAACGCAATGTTTTCTTGTTGTAGTCAGTCTCCTTTGCTTCTAAAGTGTTCTTTCTGAAAAGTTTGATGTATTTAAATGTGCAGTTGATGGTATTCTGAGCTAATATTTCATAAAACTATAAATTAAAATGCTAATATACAAATCCCAATACTACTTTAGGACAAAGTTTTTAAGCTATAATATTATTCAAGTTCTTTTTTGCAGAATACTTTAATCAGAATCGGGCAATTCGGTGAGAAGTTTGGTTTGTTTTGTAATTGCCCTCCTAAATGCAAATTTATGAATTGAACCATAGATTTGGATTTTTCTACCAAATTTGAGAATATTCAACAGCATGTAATTCAGGTTTTTCACCTATTTAACTTTTTACACTGGCTGCTTCATAACTGAACATGCTGAAGATTTTCTCTGGCAACAAAGTGTATTCTAGCATTGTGCAATCTGCCCTCAATGAATTTGAGGTTCGAAGTTAAATGCTTAGTTTATGGCAAATTTACAGAACTTATTGCATTTTTGGTGCTTCTTCAAATAAGTGGCACAAGTGTCCAATTTCTGTAATGAGTAAAATGTGTGTATTTGTCTTCAAATAACTTGGAAGTGTGATCTGAATAGATCAATACTTAGAATTCACTTGTGTTCGGTTTCTTCTTGAAGAGAATCTTATTTTGTAAAGAAAGCTGAAGAAAGGAAGCAACGTAAAACAGCAAAAAACAAGTGAGTGATTATGAATTTGACAATTCTATGAATACTGTGTACTGTTTGCATTCTGCACTTGAGTATATCATTTAATTATCAATACTTTTGGGGTTGGGCAAGGGAATGAGATACAGATGAGGGAAAGAATCAACTGTGGCTATGAAATTGGGGTGGTAGTAGGGGTTTAGAGGCCATGGGTTGAGATCAAATTTTGAGAAGTTGTTTTCCATAGTGGTGTTAGCTATATCTCTAGCTTGGGATTGATTCTACTCAGCGGGTTTATTGCTAGCTGTGCTGAGGGAATGTGAATTAGCCATGTTTTACAAGCCATTTCCATTGAAATTTAGTGACCATTCTGCTTTACTTTTTTCCTCCTCTTAGTGAGAAAGGCCATGCAGGTGATCCTGCTGTGTCTGAGATGGTAAGTTGTCTGGTCTTCTAGTTGACAAAGTGGATGCAGCTGTACATAAAGAGGATGTTTGGAACATTAGACCATAACACATGGGAGTAAAATTAGGTCATTTGATTGGGGTTGAGAAACTTTAGCCACATTCTCCTGCCTTCTCCCCACAGCCCTCATTCCCTTCCCAGTTGAGAACCTATATCTGTATTATACACAATAATTTGGCCTTCACAGCTGTCTGGCAGTGAGTTCCACAGATTCACCACCCTCTGGCTGCAGAAAATTCCTCCTTCTCTTGTTTCGAAAAGGTCGTGCCTTCACTCTGGGGCTGTGTCCTTGGGTTCTTGTTTCTCTTCTAGTGAAACATCATCTCTGCTTTCACTCACTCTCTATCCAGGCCTCTCAGTATTCTGCACACAATATTCCAGAAGAGGCGTTACCAACATCCTGTACAACCTCAACATTATGTCCCAACTCCTATACTCAAAGGTCTGAGCAATGAAGGCAAGTATGCTAAATGCCTTTTTAACCACCCTGTCAAATGTGACACAAGCGTCAAAGAATTATGTATGTGAACCTAGGTCTCCCTGTTCTGCAACACTTCTCCAGGCCCTACAATTAGTTATACAAGTCCTGCCCTTGCTTGTTGTACCAAAATGTAATACTGCATTTATTCAAATTAAACTCCATCTGCCTTGCCTCAGCCTATTGACCCAATGATCAAGATCTTTTTGTAATCTTAGCCACCTTCGTTGTCCACAATACCACCAATTTTGGTGTCATCTGCAAATTTACTAATCATGCCTCCTATGTTCGCCAGATCATTTATATAAATAGATCCAGTACCAATTCTTGTGGAACAACCCTGGTCACGAGTTTCCAGTCCCAAAAACAACCGTTCACCACCCCCTCTCCCCTTTTTATGCTTTCCTTGACTCTCTTGGCAGCCATGGTTGCCTTGTCTTCCCCTTAGTATGATTTTTCCTCTCTGATCAGGTTCTGTGCCTCCCTGAATTACCCACAAACTCCTGCCATTTCTGCTCCATAATCTTCTCTGCTAGGCTCCTCTTCCCACCAACTCTGGCCAGTTGCTCCCTCATGTCTTTAGTTACATTTCCATAATTTTAATATCTTTACAGCTGATTTAAGATTCTGTCTCAAACTGCAGGATGAATTCTGTCATCTTATCGTCATTGTCCCTTTGGGGTTCTTCCACCTTAAGCTTTCTAATGAAATCTGCCTTTATTACACAGCACCAAATCCAGAAATCCCTGTTCCCTAGTGGGCTTTATGTAGTAAGCTCCTTGGGGAAAAAAAAATACCCAGAATTATTTTTCCTGGGATCTGCTGCCAACCTGATTTCCACCCCCACCATCCACTTGCATATTGATGTCCCTCATACTATTGTAATGATGCCTTTCTTGTATGCCTTTTTCTGATTTATTTCCTCCCCACATCCTGACTACTGCTAGGAGGACTGTACACATCTCCTGTCAGGATTTTTTTTTACCATTGTGGTTTCACAACTCTACTCTAACAGATTCTGTGCCTTCTGACTCTACACCACTTCTGCCTATTGATTTAATTTCATTTTTTGCTAACAAGGCAACCCTGCCTCCTCTGCCATTCTTTTTGATTGGATGCATATCTTTAGATATTTAGTTCCCAGCTCTGATCCACTTGGAGCCATGTCTCTGTAATAACCACACCATACCCAATAATTGCTACCAATTGTTAGAATTTTTTTCTGTGGTCTAACTGTCCTTATGGTTACTTCTAATAAGTCAAAGCTGTTTCCCCTAGTTATTTTATTTGTATGTTTTAAAAAATTAACTTTGCCATCAGTTGCTAAAGTATTTTGAATCTTGGCGAAGAATAACCCTAGTTATGCACCAGATACACTCCAATAACTAGCTTATTCTGTAGTAGCAATTTTTCAATAAGTCTCTTCAGTTTTACAAAGTCTTAATATGCCATTCACTGCAGTCCATGTTTTGGCTCATAATTCACTTAAGTTTTTTAACTTAGTTGAGCATATTCTGCCTTTTTACTTGGGACAACCATTAATAAACAATCCAAATGTTACTTTTACTAGAGCTACATTTTGTAGAAATGAAATTGGGAAATATTCTTGACACAGGAAGTCTGAACTCCTCAGATTTTTGGCTTGTAGATCAATGAAATGGACACTATTGAGTTTAGGTATCAAGGAATATGGATTTGAGGTGCTGATCATGTGTGACCTAGGAATGTCTGAACTGTTCCTTTAATTTTCTCATTTCATCTTCTGTGAAGATAGCTGAATTTTTCTTTGAAGAATTGTTGATGTTCTGACTAAATTTTACAAGTGTACAGCCCATCAGACACACAGCACTAGGAACAAATGTAGAAGCAGATTTCTTATGCATTGTGTGTGCCTTATTCTTTGAACCTCAATGCATCAAGCAGCTGCACACAGCAAACCAATCAGCAAATGTTGACAAGGGTATAATAAGTCTCCCTGCTGACTTTGTACAATTTTCCCTCTTATAATTGACTGAGACTTGCAAGATGTTTCTCTGCATTCGAAGTTACTAAATTATATCTTCTGATCTGATGTACAGGTTAGCTCTTAAGTAGCATTTTCAAAATGAGATGGAAGGCATGGAAATATTAAATGTTCTTTTCTTCCAAAGAAATCCTTCAAGGAAAAAACTGGGTGCTTGCTGAAGTTTGCTGGTGACCTTGCTGATCAGACATGCAGAGAAGATATTCATGAAATTTTCTCCAATCATGGTGAAATACAGTGGATAGATTTTATAAGGGGTGCTAAAGAGGTAAAAATGACTTCAAGTTATTCAGTTGATTCTGTTTAACTTTCCTACTGTAAGGATTAATTGTGTGCTTTATAGGGGAATATCCTTTTTAAAACCAATGCAAAGGAAGCATTTGAAAAGGCAAAAGAAGCCCATGGAGGAAAACTGCAATTGAGAGATAAAGATGTCACTTGGGAAACGGTAGATGGTGAAGAGGAGAAAACAATTTTGAAGAAGATATTAGAAGATCAGCAGAAGTCATCGAACAAGCAAAGGACCAAAGGTAAAACTTTAATGGCGATGGTGCATGTTTGACAGCTGACATTTTCTGAATGTTTTTAAACAATACTAAGACTTGTTTGCTTACAGCTCGAAGAGGTGGTAAGAGAAGTTCGGGTCGACGAAGGGTGCAGTTCCAAGGCAAGAAAACAACATTTGAGAGTGAAGATGAAGATGGTGATGAGGGAGTGGAACAAACGAAAGAAATTAGTAAGTGCAAATTGTCAATCTTGAATAAACTGCTGGGATATGGATTTTTGACCCAAACAGAATGTGGTTACCTGGTTTTGTTTGAATTTATTCATGGGATGCAGATATCAGCCAGTATTAATTGTTGAGTTCTAATTGCCCTTGATGGTAATGAGTTGTCTGGAACTGCTGCAGCCCATCTGATGTGGGTGCATGTATAAAGGGTGGAGTTGCAGGATTTTTGACAGTGAATGAAAAGTTTTATTGTTCAAAGACAGGATGTTGAGTTGCTTAGAAGGGAGGTTGAAAGTTGTGGCATTTGCAGTATGCTTCTGTCATTGCCATTTTAAAAAAAAGTCATGGATTTGAATGTGTTGAAGGCAGGTTCAAATAAGTTGCTTAGTGTGCATGGTACAGACTGCTGGTGCTGATCAAGTAGGCTTCTTTGTAATTGTTGTCAAGCATCCTGTGTGGTAATTGGAATCTCAAATCTAGATAAATGGGGTATTCACTTGCACTCCTGAATTGTGCCTTGTAAACGGCGAATGAGCTTTGGAACTTGGGTCAGTTACTCTGCCAAAGAGTTTGTCTCTGGCTCACAGCCACATTGTTGACATGTCTGATAAAAGCACAATGCTGGCACAGTGTGGAGCCAAAAATTTTGAAACTCCTTGATTTTGTCCTCAAATTCTGTTCTCTGATCAGTATTTGGACTAAGGCTGTAATGAGGTATGGAGCAAGATGGTTCTAGTCAAATCCAAAATGAGTGTCCATGAGTATTAAGTGCCACTTGCTGGTATCACCAACACTACTCATTAGTTTCGAGTAGAGTACTGGGTTGGTAACTTAGGAGCAAATTACTGCAGATGCTGGAATGTGTACTGAAAACAAAAATTGGAGATCAAAGTGGGTCAGGCAGCATCCATGGAGAGAAAACAAGCTAAAGTTTCGAATCTAGATGACTCTTCAGGGCTGATGTAGAGTGGGAGGGGAGAGGGATAAAGGTGACAGAATGTAACAAGTAAAACTAGAAGAAAGGGAAGGAATGTGAATGGGTTCACAATCTGAATTGCTTGACTGGAATTGTCCTTCTTTTCCTTGACTATACCGACTTAGGCATTTTTCTCATTATTGGATAAATGCTTACATTTAGTTTTACTGGAATAGCTTGAAGGAAATTAACTTGATGGCTACTTATGCTGGACACATCATGAGGCCGTGCCTGACCAGCCTGAACTGATCATGCCTGAGCTACTGTTCCTCCAGCTCCCCACTGTTTGACTCAGACTCTAGCATTTGCAGTTCTTGCTATTTCAGTGAGGCCAACGGGCATGTTTGGATCATTCATTCAGCATTTTCAGATGACTGTTTGCAAATGGAATCAGCCAAGTGGAACCATTTCTGCCAGTCAATCAAACTGGTCACCATTTGTGACTTGATCTGACACAAATACAAACATTTGATCTCATTGGCTGTGGAATTGTTTTTTTCTAGCACATGTTGCTTCTGTGTATCATGCATGTAATCCTGAGTTTATAACTTATCTAGGTATGGCTGTTTCTGCTTGAATGCAAGCCTGCAGTCCTTGTTAAACCCTGCCTTGAAGTAGTAAGCTGTAAGAACCTTTGATTGTTTCAGTGGGATATGAACCTGGCCTTCTGGTCCAGAGGTAGGGACATTAATAATGTGCCACAAGATCCCTAGTGAGGTAGCTGAGCCTTGAAGTTACATATGGTGAAATGTAGTTCTGTTGCTGGTGAACTACCTGTCTTTTTGGATGTCTCATTTTCTGCTAGATTTATCCTGAGGCTATTTGGCACAACGGTGGTGTCATTGATTCATAAACTCAGGTGAGGTGGATTGTAAATCACTTTTGTTGCCCATGTTTCATCTGATGCCATGTGATGTTGTGGGTCCAGAATCTATGGGCACTAGCAGGACCACCCTTGATTGTGTACCACTTATCTCAAGCACAGTATATACCCTGTGATTTTTGGTGTTGGAAGATGAGTGCTACATTGTTGAATATAGATGTCAGGTTAATCATTTGACCAGCTCTAGGAGGGAGCTTTCAATTCTGGCAGAATTCCTCTAATGCTTGAGGAGGACTCTGCGCAGGTTATGCCGTTTGTTGTTCCTGGTACTTGCCAATGCCAGGTGAACTACCAATTTTTATTCAGCTTTTGAGGGGATTCTATAAAATTATTTAGCCTGAAACTTTTCTGTAATAAAATTAGCTGTTATACACTGTCTATACAGATGCTGGAAATATTTAAATTTTGTTCTCAAATGTTTTTAACTGCCTTGTTTGATCTGTTGTAGCTGTCACCAGTCCAAAGAAGAGAACCCTTGAAGAAACTGTAACTGTAGATGAGCCTGCAGCAAAACAACTGAAAACAGAAGATCAAGTTGATGATCAGTAGGATTCAATTTGACCTGTAAACCAAACGAAATTACCACATGGCCTGATCCAAGGTGTTTTAACTATATTTAATTTTGGCCTCTGCATTGCCTCCATTGAATATCTTCCAGAGGGATGGAATTTATTTAAACGAAAACCGTATGAAGTCCACTTCAATGTCAATCTAGAATGTAAAAAAAAATAAACTGTATATTTGAAGATGCCTTATAAGCATGCAGTTAAGATTTATGTAGGTGTTTTTTAAGAAAACATTTTACTTTTGCTAAAAGATTGGTTTACTTTATTGGCTGTTTATTCATTTCCTTGCAGAGATTATGTACACAAAATTGATACTAATACCTTGGAAGTTTGACAGTTTTAGTCTTAATATTGTACTAATGTAAATAGTCTGCAAATTATTGAATAAAACATCATTTTGAATTACATAAAGGCTTTGATCTTGACCTAGTGTAAATTTGTCTGCAGGTTGATTAGCCAAACAGTAATTTCATATATTTCTTAAGCCAAAACCACTGACCAAAGCAAGCTTTCATTTCTAGTTCTTTACTGGCCTGCAGCTTTGGACAGAGATACCATTCTAATACCATTACCATAAGACTAAGCATCATTCGATGTCTTCTCATCCTCCCCTGCCCTGCCCAGCCCAGCCCACATCACTTCTGTCTTTGGCTCCTTCTTATTCCTTGTGTATGTGCTGCAGTTGTCATATGACATTACCCACTTTACCTTAGCAGAAGTTTTGAGTCAGATGTGATGCTAAATTCAGACTGCTTGTCCAACATATCAATTAATTGGAGGACATTTCTGCCTATCAAGTAATGGGAAGACATGATGCCAATGTTCCCTATCCCTCAAACTTTTCCCAGCTACTAGCTTGGGTTGTGGCCAGAGAGTGATTAAGGCAATCTGTTTGCAATCTTGGTGTCACAGCTGAGCTTCTGACCTTTTATTTCTGCATTAGTGTTACTGTCTATTCCAACTTCACCTGATTTTGCTCATTTGAAACCCTTTTACTTATGCCTTTGTTACATCTAGACTGGAGTGGTCATATTCTACCATATGTATATTTGAATTAATCTAGAATTCTGCCAAATGTGTTAACTTGTTGGGAGGTCGTGGTAATGTCACTGGATGAGTAGTCCAGAATCCCAGGTTAATGACTGGGTACAAGAGTTTGAATTCCAGAAGTGAGGTGTTATGGACCAGATCAAACCCCTTCAGAATATATTAAGATAGCCTAGACCCTAACTTTTCCATACTTTAAAAGGTAAGTAAGGCATTGTGTTCCAGAAGCAAAACACTTTATTTTGACACTGCAGTTAAAATAGAAAAAGTTGGAACAACTGTAATTATGAAAATGCTTATTAACAATTAGTTAACTCTTCCAATGTACTAACATCCTAAACTACATCCTTGGCAAGACAGATTATCTCACAATCAATTCTAGCAGCCGGAAGAGAAACCCAACTTTTAGCTCTAACAGAGAAATAAGACATTCCAGCAACTGCTGAAAGCTAAAATTAAAAATCCTGGTTCCATGGGAGCTTGATCCTATTCAGGCTATTTCCATTGTCCCAACTTTTTTCTCAAAAACAGGCCTAACAAGCTGTTTATTGGCTTTTGAGCAAATTGCTCTGTGTATCTCTTTAAACCTTTCTGCATTAAGCAAGAGCTGGACAAAATACACCTCTTTAAACCAGAGTTTCATCATGTGACAGCCCTTGACATCAAAGCCACATTTGAGAGAGTGCGCTGTCAAGAAGCCCTAGCACAACTGGAATCAATCAACCAGGAGTTAGGTGGGAGTGTGGTGAGACAACTCTCTTCTGGTTGGACTCGTACCTAGCACATAGGAAGATGGTTGTGATAGTTGGAGGTCAGTCAGGAGTTTTTCAGAGTGGTGTCCCAAGCCCAACCATCTTCAGCTGCTTCAGAAGTGATCTTCCCTCTATCATAAAGGTCAGACTTTGTGGTTCCGCTTGACTGTAGCAGGCCACGTTCAAATGCAACAAGGCCTGGTCAACATCCAGGCTTGGGCTGTCATATGGCAACTAATGTGTGCCACAGAAGTATCAGGCAATGACCATCAAGAGCCAATCTAATCATCGCCCTTTACATTTAATGGCATTACCTTCACTGAATCCTCCGCTATCAACACCCTGGGGGTTACTAGAAATTCAACTGGACTTAACATATAAATACTATGGCTACAAGAGCAGATCAGAGGGTTGGAATACTGCAGCAAGCAACTCCACCATCTTATAAGGCACAAGTCAGGAGTGTGATGGAATACTTTCCACTTGGCTGTATGACTGTTGTTCAAGTGTCAGTTAAAGTCTGACACCATCCAGGACAGAGCATCTGGCTTGATTGGCACCACATCCACTACCTCCATCACTAGAAAATGCAATAGAAAATCACCAAAGATCCTTAGACTGCATCTTCCAAGCACGTGAACACTTTTCTGCCCAGAAAGAGGAGGGCAGCAGATACTTGGGAATACCACCACCTGTAAGTTTACCTCCAAGCCATTTGCCCTCCTGACTTGGAACTATGTTGCTGGTCAAAATACTGGAATTACGGGGCTTGTGGGTCTACCTACAGCACATGGACTGTAGCAGTTCAAGGAAGCCGCACCCCACCACTTCCTCAACAGCAACTAGGGATGGGCAATAAATGCTGCCCAACCAGTGATGCCAACATCCCTGAATTAAAAAAAAAAGTTACCATTGAGTCTAATAGGACTCCTCTTTGGAATACTGCACATGCTGGAAATTGAGAGAAATCTGCTCTTTCCAGCACTTTCAGATTCTGATTGGGTCTAGAATAAAAATTGGCAATTTTTAATACCAAAGATGAGGAGCTCTGCTGTCATTGCATTCACTTCACAAACTCCCTCATGAAGGCATCAACTTTCCTTACATTTCACAAAATCTCCTTCGTGCTCAAGTCTTGATTGAAATCAGAGATTGTGACTCATTCAACATGCATTTAGGAACTTGAACAAACTTACTGATTTCTTCTTGTGAAATCTATATGATGCTGGTAGGTCATATCTCAGCTCTGTTAAAAGACAAAGTAAATTTAGAAATCTAATTTGGTGCCTGACAGGGTCATGGACATCTCTGGAGATTCCTCTACTGTTTTCATATCTATTTTGTTCCTCTTGTTTCCTCCAGTCCCACAACCTTCCAAAGTATCTGTATTGCTTGAATTGTAATCTGTTCTGTTTTCCCAATTATAACCGCTACAGTTGGTAGCTATATCTTCAATTGTCTCAACCCCAAGCTTTGAAATTCCCTCTTCTGCCTCTTTACCTTTTGTTTAAGATGTTTCTTGCAGCTTGCTTTTGAACAAATCTCTCCTTTTATGACTGTGCATTATCCATTGTTTTATAATGCTCTCATGAATTTCCTTGGGGGGGGTGGTGTTCCGATACATTAAGGATGTTTATATAATTGAGTTGTCAATCAGCATTTTACAACTGCCTAGAGTTAAACAATTTCAGATTGTCACCTGTGCTGCATTTTTATTAACAGATAATAGCTGTTGCTGATTCTGCTATTCCCTCTTAAATGTATTGATCCATTTCTTCTCCCATTTCTACTACCTTTGGCTTTGGACCATTATCTTTAGTTGTTTAATATTCTTGCTTTCCATCCTCAGACCTTCCCTTTTATTCTTTCCTTTACCTCTCCTTTTTTTGGGTTCTGGAGAATAGCTACTGGACTAAAACACTAAAACTGTTTCCCTCCACAGTTACTGCTTGATTTGCCGAGTACTTTCAACATTCTCTTTGTTACCTGAATTCACATTTTAATTATAAATGAATACTTAGAAAGCTGATTTCTCGTCTGTATAATGGTAAATATGGTTTGACACTAATCAAATCTCAATAGTGCCTGACTAATTATCGATCAAGTATTTTGTAAAATGTACAAGGCTCTCTTGCAAATTAGTTTAGGAACAAATTGGCTTTAAATCAGCATATTGATTTACGTTGCAAATACAAGAAAATTAACTTGTAATTTAAGTGAACTAGTATCTCTTACCAGCAATTACTTCCATCTTTATCTTCCATTCTTCAGCCTTCTTTTGAATATGCTACAAAGGAAATGAACACTTTATAAAAGTACATGTGAAACCAAACACTTTGTACAAAATTTCTCATAGCCTTTTAGCCTTCTAGCCTTCTAAGTTTACAGCATTTGCTATTAGAATTAATTTCCCTTAGGCTGAAGTTGTTCAAATTTGTCTTTCTCTTGAAGGCATTGAATTTACACCAGGTCACAGCTCCATTTGTGATGACCGTTTTAAGTGGCCATTATTTGTATTTGAGGTTGCCTACTCAAGTAAGGTAGTTGCATGTTGGGCATTATGTATGTGGCTCAGCTTGTTGTCACTGGATGATCATATGCACTTTCCAGTGAAAGTACCAGATACCTATTTTATGAAAATTCTCCCTCTGGTATGTATACATTTGCGATGAGACTATTGCAATGCAATAAATAGCCATTTTTAATCATATCTGCATAGCATATCAAGGTCACTCTGATGTATTTCACAGCTAAATGCTGCACTATACAATTTGATAGTGCTAAAGTCTGATGTTCAATCATTAATTTATGCTGAGTTTATAATGCCAACTGCTGAATGGTGACTGACATTTGTTTTGCAGGATAATACATTTTTGATGCTCCAGTTAGGTTGATGTGGCTGCACCAATTCAGTATCAAAAACAATTGTTGGATGAGCTAACTGGATGAAGTACTAAAGACAGAAAAGCAAATGGTTTATGAAAAATCACACTTCGAGCACTCACATAGCCCACATTATAAAAAGGAGATAGAGGCAATGGAGAGGAAATTCACAAGGATGCTAGCAAACTCTAATTTTACAGAACAGGAAAGGTTGAAGAAATTGGGTCTCACATGAAGGATGGCAGAGGGATGACCTGATGAGAGGTCTTTGAACAATCAACAGGTTTGATGAAGTAGACATAGGGAAAATGTTTCCATTTGCAGGGTCCAAAAGTAGAGGTCATGAATATAAATTGGTCAGTAATAGATCCAATAGAGAATTCAGAATAAAATTCTTTACCCAAAGCCCCAAGAATGTAAAACACGCTACCCTAAGTTAAATAGCAGGTGCATTTAAAGGGAAGCTAATTAGATACATGAAAATGATGCTGATACGATTAACTGTGGAGCTTAAATGCTGATACAGACAAATTGGAATGAATGGATCATTTCTGTAATGGACGCTCAACACATCTACTGGACTGAGTTCTGGAAATGTCCGATTAAGTGTAACATTTCTCTGGCACTTAACATGAAGAATGTAAATGAAGCTTGAATTGAGATAATTGATCCAATCTAGTTTTAGGTTAGTGTGAAAGTTGACACTTTTACATTAGTGCAGGTGCTATAAAATTTAAATGTTCTGCATGCTATAACACATCAAAGATTTGAAATATGTTTTCTTCAATGCAAACAGTTTGAAACCCATCTGCAAAGTAGTTATTTGGTTGCAGAAAATCAAATTACATTCACTTACATTTCTAGTTGATGTTTTGTGTAGAGAATATACAGCTGTTCTAGCCATATCTAAAGCAATTTTGAGGAATGTCATGTCCACACCTTTTGAGGAAAACAGAAATTAGATGTTTCATTATTCAGTGAGAACCTTGGCTATATTTGATTGTAGCTCACTTGACTAAAATTTGTTATGGGATTGAGTAATTCTTAAATAATTTTGATTTAAGCGAGTAAGAAACTAAATTATATGCTTTGATAACTTAGTAATTTTGGAATGCTATTATTGTCTTCTACTATGAAGACAATGCAAAGAATTTATTCAACTCCTCGGCTATTTCTTCGTTCCCCAAAATTATTTCCCAGCCTCATCCTCTGAGAGGCCTTTCTTCACATTGGCTTCTCTTTTTCCAAAATATACTTAAAGACACTCTTGCTATCCAACACGATATTAATTGAAAGTTTGCCCTCCGGTTCTTTTCTCTTTTTTTTGGTTGTCTTTTGTTGTTCCCAATAATATGGCTTACCACTAAGCTTTGCTACATTATATGTATTTTTTTTTCAATTTGATGCTTTTCTAAACTTCCCTAGTTCACTGTCGTTGGCTTATCCCCTTCCTAGAATCCTTCCTCACAGGATATATCTTAGCTGTGAGCCACATTTGATACGAATCTGAGTTAGCTGTCGGATGGCATTTGCAAAACTGCAATTGTCCTATATGTATTGTTGCTTCTCAATTGCGTGCATTCGGAGGAAATTTTTTGGGGTGAGAAGAACATTAGATTTGATTCTCCCAAGGTCAGTCAGCCAATGAGCACTCAGTATCTCCGTTTCTACAAGATAACTACTTGATCAAATGAGAAAAAACTAATATAGGAATCTTTCACATTTCAAACCACTGCAAAGTTAACTAATTTATTTTGCATTCAGTTTTATATAGACAAGTATGGCCGCTAGTTGTGCACAGCAAGTTCCCAAAAACAGCAAAGTGATGCAATCTATTTTTCCAGGTTTTGATTAAAAATAAGTATTGGTCAGTACAGCGGGAGAAGTGTTTTGAATAGATGCAAGAAACTTTTTACTTACCTGACAGAAGACGGAGTCTCTGTTTGACTTGCCATCTGAAGACAACGTTTGTTGCAGTATTGTGGTTTTGTTATGCATTTGCTTATTGTGAAATACATTTGTGTAGTATTTAGGGAGTGCTAATTGTTGGAGATGATACGAGATTGTGCCTCTTTCTATCATTATAGTGGATACAAAAATATGTTGTACTGTTCAAGAAACAGCTGAGAAGTTCTGATTCTCAACCACCAACATTACCAAGAAAGAGATCTTAAGATGTCTTATTGCAGATCATAGCACTTCACTGTACACAAATTGGCCACTATGGTTTTTTAGGACCAGCTTTCCAAAGCATTTAATTGTCTAAAGTGTTTGGGTATAGTAAGACCATCAAAATGGACATTAATTACACAAAATAGTTCTAGCTTGTAGTGGTGGCCAATTAGTGTGTGCAATGTGACAAACAATTGAAACTAAGCTGCTTATTAAGCAAATTTGTAAAAACATAAAGGTAAAATGTGTTTATCAATCTGCCTTTTAGTTGAGTGAATTTTAATCTAGATCCTGGAGGTGAAAATATTGTGGAATTTTATGATGCTACCTAGGCTCTGGCTTAGATTGTCACCATATACTGTGCATGACTGGAATTTACCATTGGTGAGTTATGGTTGGCAAATATTTTCAGTCCTGTTTTCTACCATTTTGCTTCCTGTTTAATATGTATTATCTATTTAACTAAATTTGATTGTGTGAAACATGAAAAGACTTTAACACCTGGTTGCATAATTTATGAAAATTGAGATCATGATGCAAAATGCAAGAGGTGTTAACTAAATTGCTTCATAAATACTGAAGTACAGTATAAGTCTAATGTTAACAATACGGTAACAGCTTGATGGATGCATTGCTACACACAAACTTCTACTGGAAGACATTTCTAACCACAAAACTATGGAGAAACAAAATCTCAACTTTGTATTTAAATATTTTAAGTACACTACATGAACCCAAAATTCAATATACCTTTGTGTTTTGTTCCAAATGGTGGATTCATAATTATTGTGTCAAAAGTCTTTGATAATTTGCCAGTCGTTATTGAACAGATGTCACATTGAACCATGTCAACATTGGCCAATTCAAATTCTTCTACATTCCTGTTAAATACGTTGAGAGCTCCTTCATCAATATCAAATCCAACGCATAATCTGCAAAAGATGAAAATCATTCAGTTGGACATAAAATGTTTCTTTTGTGTTGATTCTTAGTTGCTGTGGTTAAGTACATTATAAATTTGTATAGGTTTATCCTTAACTTGAAATTGTCACTGTTGAGTTTGTTTGTACAATTTTAAATTATTCATATTATTTACAGATTTGTGACCAGCCTAAGAATGGCTTTTCCAGGAAATCGTTCAAATGTACTTTGAGACAAATAACCTTAATTTCACTAAAAGTTGGATATATATTAACTTTAAACAGCAGGTACAGTTGGAATTCTAAACTTACAGAAAAATTTAGAGAATTGCTCTTCTAATGCTACATAGCATGCTGTAATTTAGTTTATTTGACTAGAAACTGCAAACCCCAACTTGTCTGCTTTTGATCCCTTTTCTCTCCCAGCCAAATTAAAGCGAAATGATTTAGTCATTGTAATACTTAAAAAATAAACAGGACCATGAGACATAGGAGCCGAAGTAGGCTTTTTAAGTATTACAATGACTAAGTCATCTAGCTTTAATTTGGCTGGGAGAGAAAAGGGATCAAAAGCAGACAAGTTGGGGTTTGCAGTTTCTAGTCAAATAAGCTAAATTACGGCATGTTATGTAGCATTAGAAAAGCAGTTCTTGATGATTTAGTAATTGTAATACTTAAAAAAATAAACAGGACCATGAGACATAGGAGCTGAAGTAGGCTTTTTAAGTATTACAATTACTAAATCATCAAGAACCTGTACTGGAGAATGGACCAACAGTGAAAACACCAGCTTTAATTTGGCTGGGAGAGAAAAGGGATCAAAAGCAGACAAGCTGGGGTTTGCAGTTTCTAGTCAAATAAGCTAAATTACAACATGTTATGTAGTATTAGATGAGCAATTCTCTAAATTTTTATGTAAGTTTAGTATTCCAATTGTAATACTGAAAAAATAAACAGGACCATGAGACATAAGAGCTGAAGTAGGCCATTCGGCCTGCTGAGTCTGCTCAGCCAGTCAACGAGATCATGGCTGATCTGATACAGGTATTTCTCCTATAATACGATAGTTGCATTCTTGTGTGACCTCGAGTTATAGAAAATCGCCATGGAAATTTGTGTTATAGGGAAATTGCTATAGAAAATCGCTATACCTGTACAGCAGAAAGTTTGCAATATCCAAATAGCATCCACTATTCATCAATCACGTTACAGCCAATTTGCGTTAATGAAACGCATTATAGCAGAAATCCCTGTAATTTTCAAATCCATACTCCTGCCTTTTTCCCATAACTTTTGATTTCCATATTAAAAAAAAAAATCTGCCTTCATATGTTGAACCACCTTCTCTGGTTCTCTCTAGTAAAGGATTCCACAAATTCACTATGCTCAGGAGAAACTCCTCCTTAAGTGGGCAGTCCCTTAATCTCAGATTATGGCCTCTAGGGCAAAACTCTCTCAGTGGGGAAACAACCTGTCAAGCCTCCTAAGAATCTGGCATTACTAAAAGGTCACCTCTCATTCTTCTAAACTCCAACGAGTATAAACTCAACCTGCTCAACCGCTCCTCACAAGAAAATCTCAATTTTTCTACAAACTGCTATCTTCACCACTCATGGATGACAAAAATAGGTGGGAAGGCAATAATACACAATGGCAATAGTATATTTACCTTTCTCATCCTAGTCATCAATCTGTATTGTAAATAATTGTGGCCTCAGCACTTACCCCTGTGGCACTCCACTATTCATAGGTTGCCATTCTGAAAATGCCCCCTTATCTGAAGTCTATGTTAATTAGCCAATTTTGTAATCTAAATATATTACATCAACTTGTTTCCCTTTATCCTATTTGTTACCTCCTCAAAGACCTGTATTAAGTTTGTCAGGCATGATTTACCCTTCATGAAATATGAAACAAGTGCAGACTACTGGACATGGAAAAGTTAGAAATAAAACAAAGCAAGAAAATAGATTCAAACTGTTCATTCATGCCTCTTCTAAAACTGAATGGAAGCTGAAAGAACTGTGGATGCTGTAAATCAGAAACAAAAATAGAAATTTCTGGAAAAGCGCAGCAGATCTGGCAGCGTCTGCGGAGAGAAATCAAAGTTCACGTTTTGGGTTGAGTGACCCTTCCTCAGGCCTCAAGGGTCATTCAATCCAAGACGTTAACTCTGGTTTCTCTCCAGAGATGCTGCCAGACCTGCTGGGCTTTTCCAGCAATTTCTATTCTTGTTTCTGTTATAAAACTACTCTAGTCTTTGAAGTAGTACTACTGTAAAAATGTTTAATCACAAAATATGTCAGCTAACATCTTAAAAAGATCGATCCTCTGCTAAAGAGAAATGTCTATGGATACTATTAATTCTGGGTTTGCCACTTCCACCAGATTAAATCATACAATGATGTAGCATAGAAGGAGGCTATTCAGTTCACCATATAGCCATTCTTCTAAAGGGCTTTAATCATTAGGTTGCATTCTCATTTAGTAGTCATAATGTCTTTAGCATCCAATCTATTTTGGCACATTGCAGTGATAATGGATTGCTGTATTTGCAGAACTGACATTTTTTGGGGAGAATAATGTTAAATTGAGTTCTGTCTTTGTGACCAAGATCTCATACTATCAGAAAGGTAGCAAGTTTTTTTGATGGCCTGGCCAACATCAATCCAAAAAATGGTTGTTCACATTAACTGTATATTAAACATCTTTAGTTGTGTGCACGAAATGGGCACTAACGGGGGGCTCATTTATATTCTTAGAAAAAGACAAATAAATTATGATTGTTGGGTTAGGAAGTGCATTCATGTAATCTCTAAATAAATACTTATACAAAGTGGGTAATATAGATTCGAATCTATCCTTCAGCAAACAGCTTTCTGGAGGATTAATAGTTAATTTCATTTCACTTCTTGTTCATGGAATGTTGCTATGCCAAAGATTGGCTGCTGTATTTATCTACATCAGCAACTGCAAACAGAAGTAATTAGTTGTGAAGTTCTTTGCGATAGTGTGAGGAGATGTAAGTTATTTTAAATCTAAGCTGAAGTAATAGCATTTAACTTTAATTCCAAAAAAAATTGAGGTAACGGTCATTCAAGCTAACCTTACTAGAAAACATACCTGTACACTGATATCCATATTTAAAATTGCAATATTTTATATTCAAACAAATCTGCTAAATAACATAGCTGTATAATGATAATTACCGCAGATGGTTTAAGGGACATTGTCATGTTACTTAAATTACTAGTTTTATTTTACAAGTACATATTGATGACTGCATTTTGCAATTCACATACCCCGCATCTAGCATAGCTGCTCCAATACTTAGAACTCCACATCCACACCCCAGATCTCCAATCAACTTACTCTTAATGTCATCGAATGTTGTGTGTATGGTATACAGCATATGTGCTAAAATGAGAAGATAATTAACATTCATTTTATGAAATGATATCATTTTAAGTACAGTAAAAAAAATTTGAATGTAGCATATATCAAAGTGAGTTCCTTCGCAAATTGCCAGTTTTATAATTTCACATTAGCTTTATAAAATATAAGTGCAAATTGTATGTTTCAATTCTACTATGCTTCTGGAAGATGCATGCTAACATAGATCCTAACCTAGTTGTTCTGAAAATGTGGTGGACTTAAGTATTGTTAATTATCTTGTCCTTGATTATAAATGTTCGGTCATGTTGAGAATCAGATGGTCACCTAACTTTTCAGATCCTTGTTGAATTTGAAAGCACTACCTGCTTTAGGCTTATAAAGTGTAGTCCTACTGTGGGAAATAGCTGAAATATATCCTTCCGTCAGCACTGATGTAGCCCAAGTGACATACAGTTAATGCTAATTAAGTCTTTGATGGAAAAAAGCAAAGATGATACTGCATTTGGAAAATGATGAGACATTTGTCTTTAGTAAAGCCATAAATTTACAATACACTGGATGAGGACATTGTTGAGGAAGCTAAGTCCTCTTGCAGAAAAGTTTAAAAAAAATTTCTCTGGAGTCGACTCTGGCTATCAAGAGGATTATCTGGAAGTTACATCGACAATTTTCCACCCTTCTTCACAAAAAAAAGATGCTGCTGAAGGATGCTGGAGTTGTGGATAAAGAATATGAAACTCTTGTTGAAAAAAAATCACGTCAATATGATATGCTTACTAAATATCAGAAGGTACAACTGCACCCAGTTGTCACAATCATGTTAGAAAAGAATTTAATGAAATGCTGGCTATGGACCTGAAACTATGAGATAAGGATCAAAATATTTAGCTGACGTTTTGTAGATGTGATGACTGGGTTCAACTTATATACAGTAATAAATAACAAGGTCAAACGACAAACAGTCGATAAGGTTATAGAAAAGAGAGTTGGCATGGCTCTTGGAATGCCATTGGAATTTCTAACAGATAACAGAGGAGAAGTTCAAATGTTAAGTTTAAGGAAGTGTATAAACTTAGAGGTAGTAATGAACACTGCCACAGTCTGTTCAACAGTAGTTTGAGAGAAAGAAATCATGTAGTAATTGATGAAATGTTACACAATATGCTGGCAGATCAATCAAATTGCAAGCTGTACACGGTACTGGCAAAGCCAGTAGATGCCAAATCTTTTTTCCAAATGAATGCATTTTGAAAAAGTTTGAGTCAATGAATTGAATACCAGCAAAGAGACCATTAGAGGAAAGTGTCTAGGTGAAAAAAAAGCACACATGTAGGTATCAATAGCAGAAGCACTGACGTGTGCGATTATGTTAGTTGGAAACATGTGGTTCAGATAATTTATAGAACATAGAGTTTAAATCTCAGCATTAAGCTGAGCAATATCCAAGGTTTTAAAATTATTGTTATTTGAGGCAAAACAGCAGAGTTAATAGTGGGAGCTTAAAATTATGTTTTTGGTAGAATGCAAGTGATTATAACTTTTTACTGACTTGATGATAGATGGCAGCACAGGCGGATATAGCATCACAAGAGGATGTTGTCAGTTTGTGTATCAAAACTGATTGCATGAAAATGACGTTGAGGGTTAATGAAGAAGAACAGGGAGTTTAGAATAGTTCATTACTCTTTCACCTCTGGTGTCTACCAACACTGACTCTTTCAGATTGCTAGCAATAAAACCACATGGACAAGAGGTGGACAAAAGATTACAGCTTTATCTGTGGTAGCCAATGTAGTAGAGCATTGAAGAGAGATAGCACAGTCACAAAGAATATCAACTATAACTTTGACCAAGCTGTTGTTGGATTGAGTAAAATGGTAGTTAGACTGGAGGGATTCAAATTGAGTTGAGCAAGAGATTAACAAGACGTGGACTACAGAATCAACTTGCCAGTTCTTGGTCAAATTTCAGCTCCTCAGTTACTGGTTTAATTGAAAACCTGCTAGTAGACACACTGCTCCTCAAACGAATTCCAACTTCACTCTGCATCTACCATTAAAAGAAATCTGAATAATTTACAATGAGATTTAGAAACTTTCAGCTTCTTCTGTGGGCCCTCTGTTTGTTAAAATGCTACAGCAACTGATTTGCTCCTTTACTTTCTTTCATCTTCTGAAGGAGTCAGCTACAACAATGCCATCAATGATCGTTAACCCAGTACCACCCAAATCTTTGTTCCATTAAAGTAAAAAGTGCGAATTATTTAGCTTTCCAAACCATCAACTGAGATGGTCATAATATGTATTGAGAGCAGACTAACACTAGCTGATGCAGTTTAAAAATATGATGTCTCTCTTTTAAAACAGAAATTATTCTTTTTCTCCCGCAGTGATCAATGTATGTAGGATTATGTTAGAAAGCATTGGAAACTTGGTCTCTGAATTTATTCAAGGCTGAGTTAGATAGACAAATAAGTTGACACTTTTGGAAGTGGGACAGAAACAGCAAAGTTGAGACTGCAATAAGATCTACTATAATCTTAGTGAATAAATTTTATGTTATGATCAAAAATGTCCTTTGATGTGGGATCATTCGGGGGAACCAAAATCACACGATATCTATTTTTCACATTTAATCATCTCTAACCATTCTCTCGAACCATAACTGTATCAAAAAAGACAATGGCTCATGAGCTGTTTTGCCCATATTACAACAAAGAATACACTACGATAATGAAAATCGGTTATGAAATGTTTTCGGACATCCATTAAATGTATCTTTTAAAATGTTTTTACCACCCCGAAAGAGATTGTGCATTCAGCTCTTTGCTCTAACTACGACTTGTATTATTTCTGAGGTTATGTTTTTCTCTTGTAAACATAACATACAAAATACTGTTGAGAATAGATGGAACAAGCGGGTGGAACAAGGTGTTCAGAGGAAAGGAGCTTTGTTCGTGAAAAGGACAGATTAAAGGAAACCCAAGAGTGGCATGGGAGCTAAGGGAAGTTGACTAGTCAGTATCACTTACTAATTAGGAGAAACTACGGATGTTAAATAGATGCAGCAATACAGGCTATAACAAATCAAAAATAGGCGCCGGGGAATTAACATGCCTTGTCTCGATGTTTCCCTCAAAGGTTAGCTATCTATTAAGCATTTTCTTAGTTCTCATTACCATCTCAGCGTGATGCCGACAGCATCTTACGATATTTTAAAGGAAATGTAATTTTGATCAGTGTTCGCACCGTTTACCTGCTATATGCGGGCTTGTGTGATATTGCTCTAGAAGTAGCTTCGGCTGCTCAAACACATCTACTTGCTGCAATAAACTCTCCAATTCCTTCAGCTTGAGAGCTTTCATGGTTTTTCCAGGCCGTGTGCAACTAACTCCAACCTCCGACTACAAGCACAGCCCAATTCTGCAGTTCCGAAGAAAAGCCATTGGACTCAAAACATTAACTGTGTCTTAGCAGACCTGCTGGCCAGATCTGCTGAGTTTCTCCGTCACGTTGTTTTGGTTTCCGATCCTTAGTTCCTAATGCTCAAACGCCAAGCCTGCGCTAATTTAGCAGTTTCACCTGAAGGAGAAAGGAAAAGTGCGACGTTTAAATAAGGAGCGAACAAAGGGAAACATTGAGAGTTAAGAATCTGAAATAGCGATACAGCAACGAGAGAAAAAGCGCCCAAGATCAGGTTTCCCACCTGAAACTGCTTCTCCTCTTTAACGAGACTAGTTGATCAGACAACGGCATCCTTCGAAGTGGCTGAGCACTGAGTTCCGTAGCAGATAGCAAATACCCTGTTAATGTTGCCTAGCTGATTGCAACTACTAAAATCCTGTCCCGGAAATACACTAAAGTCTCCTTCAAAATTAAAAATGAGAGACGATAGGGATAAGATAATTTTTGTTCTCTAAACATTTAAATTTACCCAGAGCTTTGTACAGTAATGGATATAATAGTGTCTATAACATTGGAACTAAAATCATTGCCATATCACGTTCTGTATTTCACAGTAATATGTAATCGTATTCTTTAATCGAGATTTAAATTGCAAGTTTAACATTGACGCAAACACGAACTCTTCATTCGCTGCAACTGGCACTCCCGGCTAGGAGTACTGGATTTTCGTAAAATCTATTTATTGATAATTGAGATGCAGCTCTATGCGGATATTTGTGTCTTAGGCTTGTATTTCACTTCAATCTCCCAACCGGATGAAGCAGACACTTGGTGATATAACAACCAAAATTGCTTGGTCGACTCAGCAGGTTTGGCAGCATCTGTGGAGAGAAAGAGTTCAGACCATTTTGACTCTTCTTTGGAAGATTACGTTGTTCTAATTCTTTCTGCTTTTATTTCAGATCTCCATCGGCATCTCCAGTACTTTGTTTTTATTTGACTCCTGTTTTGACAATCTGCTTTATGTTTCTGAATCCCCTTTCTGCTGCTTGTGCATGATTCCGATTAAAAAATCCTTTCTCCCTGTATACATTCCAGATTTTTATTGTCTCTGTTTCAGTGCGAAAAGAATAAAATGCCCCTTTGACATAAGCTATATTTAATTGTCCAGTAAAATAAGAAATTATTTATCATCAACTTTACAATAGGAAACAGTAACAGTTTGACATATTTATCCATATTTCACCCAGGTGTCTTTTTAAAACTCTAATATACTTTTTTTTAAAAAGACACAACTTTCAAAGCAACTTTTTTCTCAATACTTTCTGGAAAAAAAGTCATAAGATTTGGAAATATGAAAAATGTAAAAATACCCCATAGAAAATAGCAAAATAAATTTTAACAAGTGAAAGAAGCTCAGCAAGAATGAAACCATCTGTAGTGAACTGGTATTGCGATAAATAAAACAAAACCAAAATTAGTGGTAAAAGCAGCTACTATTGTTCTAATAGTCTATTAGTTTCCATCTACAAAACATATGTATTTTCACATCAAACAGATATTTAATTAAATAAAAATTATTTACTGGTTATTAATTAACAGATATACACAAGGAGTACATTATTGTGTGACAAATTGGTCCTGGGGAGTGTTGCTGAACAAAGAGACCTTGCAATCCAGTTCATAGTTCCTTGAAAGTGGAGTCGCAGGTGGATAGGATAGTGAAGAAGGTATTTGGTATGCTTACCTTTACCGGTCAGTGCACTGAGTATAGGAGCTGGGAGGTCATGTTGTGGCTGTACAGGACTTTGGTTCAGCCAGTTTTGGAATACTGCATGCAATGCAGGCCTCTCTCCAATAGAAAGGATTTTGTGGAACTTGAAAGGTTTCAGAAAAGATTTATGAGGCTGTTGTCAGGGTTGGAGGATTTGAGCTAAAGGGAGAGGCTGAATAGGCTGGGGCTATATTCTCTGGAGCGTCGAAGGTTGAGGGGTGACCTTATAGAGGTTTATAAAATCATGAAGGGCATGGATAGGATAAATAGACAAGGTCTTTTCCCTAGGGTGGGGGAGTCCAAAACTAGAGGGCATAGGTTTAAGGTGAGAGGGGAGAGATATAAAAGGGACCTAAGGGCAACTTTTTCATGCGGGGGTGGTGCATGTACGGAATGAGCTGCTGTAAGAAGTGGAGAAGGCTGGTAAAATTACAACATTTAAAAGGCATTTGGATGAGTATATGAATAGGAAAGGTTTAGAGGGATATGGGCCAACTGCTAGCAAACGGGACTAAATTTACATAGGATATCTTGTTGACATGGACAAGTTGGACTGAAGGTCTGTTTCCATGCTGTATATCTCTGTGACTCGATGACTCTAAATTGTGAATAGAACTGTCAAACTCATGAGATGGAACTGAAGTGGAGTAAATACAAAAGGTCAATTTAAAGTGGTAGATAAGCATGATGGAATTATGTATTGGGAGACTGTAACAATTATATTATCTGCAATACTTCTAATATATGTATGTTGCCAATCATATTGTTCATAGTTAACTGAGGAAAAGGTTTATCTCTTAATTCTGTATTATAACTAGTTATAATTGGTTAGGAAGTTACAGTACTGCATCAGGAATGAGTTAATTATGATAAATTACAATGTTATTCATTTAGTTTAATGCATTCCAACACCACTAATAAGATGTTAATATTACTAAGATGAATGTGAGACTTAGGAGCAGGAGTAAGCCATTTGGCCCTTTAATCTTGCTTCATCATTCAACAAGATCATGACTGATCTCATTGTGGCCTTAATTCCACTTTATTGTCTGTGTTCCACCCTCCCCCCCTATAAACTTGACTCCCTTCTAAAATATATTTAACTTAGCCTTGAATATATTCAATGACCCAGCCTCCACTGTTCTTGGAGTGAAAAAATCTACACATTACGGACGCTCTAAGCGAAAATAGTTCTTTTCATTGTCATCTTTTTACATCTTATTCGTAAACTGGGTCCAGTAGTGCTAATCTCCCTAACAATATGAAACATCCTCTTCACATCTCACACATCCATATCTAACATGTTTTCCTATGTTACATTTCCATTATTTATGACCCCCCCCATGTATTTCACATGCCCATTACTAATGTGCCCCTCCCAGCTTACATGTTTATTACTTAAGTTCCTCTTCCATCTTTTAGAAACATAGAAGATGAGAGCAGGAGTAGGCTATTCAGTCCTTCGGGCCTGCCCTGCCATTCATCACAATCATTGTCCACCTCAATAGCCTAATCCTGCTTTCTCCCCATAACCTTTGATCCCATTCATGCCAAGTGTTATATCAGGCTGCCTCTTGAATACATTCAATGTTTTGGCATCAGCTACTTCCTGTGGTAATGAATTTCACAGACTCACCACTCTTTGGGTGAAGAAATATCTCATCTCCAACTTAAATGGTCTACCCCAAATCGTCAAACTGTGATCCCTGGTTCCTGACACACCAATCATTGGGAACATCCTCCCTGCATCTACCTTATCTAGTCCTGTTAGAATTTTAAAAGTCTCTATGAGATCCCCCCTTATTAATCTGAAGTCAGGCGAAAACTTAGAAAAGCCTACTTCGGTTACTATGTCTCATGGTCCTGTTTACTTTTTCAGTAATACAATTACTAAATCATCAAGTCAATCTCTCCTCATAACATCAGTCCCGCCATCCCCGGAATCAGCTTGGTAAACCTTGGCTGCGCTCCCTCGAGAGCAAGAGCATCCTTCCTCAGAAAAGGAGGCCAACACTGCGCACAATGGTCCAGGCGTTCCTCACCAAGGCCTAGCTCATGTCCATTACACACTTCCTCATTGTTCTCAGGCTTTATTTTAACATAATTTGAAATTGCAAATGCTTAATTTCCATTTAAGATTTGCGAATCACTCAAAAACTTGAAGCATTGTAAACTTGGTAATGTATTTTCATTAAAATCATTCCAATATGTAAACTTTACCTTTTTCACTCTTAAAAAATATATTCCCACGCACAAGGCAGCTGAGTGAATGTGGGCGGCGGAGTTGGGAAAAGGTATGCGTTTAACGGGGGGCTTGGCACCGTTTTTGGGACAGCGTGTGAACTGTGGTGGGGGCGTGGGGGAGCTCGAGGAGGCAAGTATATGCAAAATACGTGTTGAGAGGGATCTCTTGTACAATTTTCAAAATTTCCCAGATAGGAACTCTCCTTCAGGTGCATCACATTTTTTGCCTAAAATAACTCACTATTTAATGTGACGCACTCTCTGGGAATGCAGCCATAAGTTGTTAAGTGCAAGGATCGCGTAAAACCGTTGAATAAATGACTACCGTGTCCTTCCATGCCACTAGCGTTGCCAAATGAAGCGACCCTTTTATTGTCTGTGTTGATCACCCTACCGCCAACCCTGTCCAACTTTCACTTGCTTAAAACCTGTTAGATTTCCAACTTTATAGAAACCGAAAGAACTGCTGATGCTCTAAATCTGCAACAAAAACAGAAGTTGCTGGAAAAGCTCAGCAGGTCTAGCAGCATCTGTGAAGAAAAATCAGAGTTAAAGTTTCGGTTCCGGTGACCCTTAGAACATAGAACATTACAGCGCAGTACAGGCCCTTCGGCCCTCGATGTTGCGCCGACCTGTGAAACCAATCTGAAGCCCATCTAACCTAAACTATTCCATTATCATCCATACGTTTATCCAATAACCATTTAAATCCCCTTAAAGTTGGCGAGTCTACTATTTTTGCAGGCAGGGCATTCCACGCCCTTACTACTCTCTGAGTAAAGAGAGGAGAAGGACGCGAAACACTAACTCTTGATTTCTTCTTCACAGATGCTGTCTGACCTGCTGAGCTTTTCCAGCAACTTCTGTCTTTGTTCCAAATCTCCAAGTTTGTCCTGTTCTGACGAAAGGTCAAACTTGAAACGTTAACCCTGTTTTATCTTCCCGCAGACCTGCTTGAGCATTTCCAACATTTCCTGCCATTTCATTCAGATTTCCAGCTGCCTTGTCATGTGTTGGGGCAAAATATTAAAGTTGAACGCAGGTACTTGTTCACAACCCCATCCTTTCCCCATTGAATTTGAAGAATCAGAGGTTCCTCCTGTGCCATTTCTGGGCGTTTTAGTTCCTCGGGGTGTTAGATGAGGGGCAGGAGACAAGTGTCAGTGAGTAACCTTGCAGCAATCCTCCTCGTCCTCCCAGGGATTATCAACTGTTGTAGAGAGCACTTCCGGGAAGAGGCGCACAGACATTCAGCCTGCTTCCGGCAGCAGCTGAACTCTCACGAGAGTTGTCGGCAGGCTGCTCCAAGAACAAAATAAATAAGCAGGCTCGGCTGGCCGGCTGCGGGCCGCTATGGCGGCGTCACTATTGGGTCGGGACAAGAGGAGTACGGCCGCCTCGCTGAAGGCCGAGTGTAGCCGGCAGGACAGTAGGGGTGTGCAGCTGCTTGGCGAGCTGCTGGATAGCGTCCTGAGCCTGGAGAGAGCGGTGGACGAGGCCGAGGTGATCGAGTGGTGCAAGTGCCTGATGGCCGGCGGCGAGAGCTTCGATGATTTCTGTAAAATGGTGCGCGGCTATGACAACGCGACTCTGTGCGGCTTGGTGTGGACTGCCAACTTCGTGGCCTACCGCTGCAGGACGTGCGGGATCTCGCCGTGTATGTCCCTGTGCGCCGAGTGCTTCAACGCCGGAGAACACACGGGTCATGATTTCAACATGTTTCGGAGTCAGGCGGGCGGGGCCTGTGATTGCGGGGACAGCAGTGTGATGCGGGAAAGTGGGTGAGTGAAGAGAGCCTAAAACCGGGACTCTGAGCCTATGTCCGACCCGGACACCTCTCCTAATAAAGTCTGGATCAGGGATAGCCCCTTCATTTATTATTTTTTGTAAACTTTTTATTTTCAAAACATTGTAATAGCTTAAATTCACCGGGTATTTGTTGCTGTTGACCTTAGGCCAACAGTAGCAAAAATAGCACTTGTTTGTAAACTTTTTGCGCTCCGCTGCCAACACGGAAGACCTGTGTATAGACTGGGTCTTTACTAGTGCTATCCAGAGATTTCAGAATGTTTCTTTACCCGCATTTTATAAAAGTCAGGAAAGTTGTACTGACATAAAGGTTACAATATAAATATATAAAAAGATATAAAATACATTTGGTAAAGTTTTTTAAAAAGTGGAATTACTCCTTTTTCTGAAAGAAAAAATTTGCTTAAGAAAACCTGCTGCAAGTTTGGAAGCTTTAGAGCTTTGCGTTTGACGTGTCACTAAATGACATTAAATTATGGACGCGCTTCTGTCACGATCGTAAATATCGTGTGTCCGAGACATTTTAGGTATTGACTACATAAAGCTTTAGTTTACTCGCCTGTGATACCGTATAAGTGTATGTACGATGCCCATACACAGTTGTTGCCTAAGCACTTTTTTTTTTTAACAACTAACAGCATTGATTCCTTCATGTCGTGAAACAAATCAAGAAAATAATAGTACGGGGAAGTTAACGTTTTAGTGGTATATGCAGTCGTCAAGTTCGGCAGCAGTTGTAGATAGCGAAATGATTGTTATTTACTGAAGACGAAAATGCTGGAGATCACAGAGCAGAAAGAATGTTAATGGTTCACATTAAGTGATTCAACATCCTTTCTTCCCCCATTCTCCCACTATTGCATAAATGCTGCCCACTCCACACTTCACGTCAGCTCTGAAGAGTCATCTAGAGTCGAAACGTTAGCTTGCTTTCTCTCCATGGATGCTGCCTGACCTGCGGTGATCTCCAGCATTTTTTTGTTCTCAGTACAGATGCCAGCATCTGCTGTAATTTGCTCGTAAATTGATGTCCTTTCAGGTTTCTGACTTTTTTCAGAACTGACCTGAAACATTGCCCTTTTCTTTTCATGGGTGCTGCCTGATCTGTAGACCATTTCCTGCTTTGGGAGGACTAGGGTAGCAATTAGCCTTTTGAGTCTGTTCCCTTATTCTAGGTCACGGTTTCCCACACTCTCTCCCCATATCCTTTGACGTCATTAGTATTCAAAAGTCGATTAATCTCTGGCTTGAACGTACTCAGTGACTGAACTTTCACAGCCTTTGGGGTATGGAATTCCAAAGATTTACTGCCTGAGTGAAGCAATTCCTCCTCATCTTAGTCCTAAATGGCTTGTCCTGGGTTCTCGACTCAACAACACCACCCACCCTTTCAGGGGAAGAATCCTTTTTGCAACTACCCTGTCTAAGCCTGTAAGAATTTTATGAATTTCAGTTAAATCACTTCTCATTTCTCTAACCTTAAGAGCTCAGTCTCCTCGAAGAATAATCCTACCGTCCCATGGATTATTCTGGTGAACATGTGGAGCCCCTTTATGGCACGTGTATGCTTCCTTTAAGAAACCTTGCACAACAAAACTGCAGGTGTGGATTCTACAGAAATGAAGCAAAACATTTTATTCCTGTAATCTAATCCTCTTATGATAAAAGCCAACGTGCCATATGTCTTCCTAATTGTTTGCTGCACCTGCAAGTTAGCTTTCAGTGACTTGTGACTGATGAAATCCTGGTCTGTTAAGACATCGTCAATTCCCAATCTCTCCCCATTTTATTAAATACCTCACACCTCTTCTTCCAACCTAAGGGATAACCTTACATTTATCCATACTTTATTTCATCTGCCATGGTCTTGCCAATTCATTCAACCTCTCCCTTTGAAGCCTCTTTGCACCTTGTGTCATCTGCAAGTTTGGAAATATAACATTTGGTCCCTATGTAGCTGAGGCTCCAGCACTGATCCTTGCAGTGCCTGGCAGCCTCTGAATGACATATTTTGTCCTACTTGACTTTCTGTTTACCAAACTTTAATCCATGCTGGTATATTACTACCTATTCCATATGCTGTGGTTCTGTTTATTGAAACCCTCTGAAAATCCAAATACATCTCATCATTGGTTTCCCCCATTTCTACTTCTGCTAGTAACAACCTCAAACAGCACAAGCTTATCAGACCTGATTTCTGTTTTAATAATTCATTTTGACACTCAATCAGCTCGTTTATTTTCTAAGTCTACAGTTAATCATATTGCTAATACCATAACAACAAATGGCAGCATTTTCCCTATCACTGTCAGGTTAACTGATCTGCCATTCAGTCTTCTGGAAATCTCCGTTCCCCCCCCCCCCCGCCCTCAGTCTTAAATAGTGAGATTACATTTTCAACATTTCAATCTGCAGGCACTGTTACGGCATGTGCAATTTTGAGGTGATCGATGTATTTACCTCTATAGATAGCTTTCAGTATCGGAATATTTATTATCAGATCCTTGGAGTTTATCACCTGTCTGTGTCATTCATTTCTCCAGTGCTACTTAGTTTGACTAGTTCATCATTTTCATTGGTTCTTTGGATCTTTTCTTCTTGCGAGATTTCTGTGTCAGTCTTTTATGGAAGAATTACAAAAGTAGTTATTTAGCTTCTCAGTTTTCCTGTTGTAATTTAAGATCATTTGATTTTCAGCATCTGCAATATTTTACACTTATAATAACTGTTGGGGAAGAAAGGGTTTTTTTAAGAATGATTTTGATGGGGAAATGAGTTCCATTGTCTTGCATTGTAATAGCCCCAATTATCAATAATATCTTTTTTGAGGTAGCAAAGCATACCATGGCCCTTTTACATGTGTTATCTAACAAAATTTGACTAGCTACAATAGGAAGTTCGGGTGATGATCAAAATCTTAGTTTAAAGTAAATGGTTAAGGACTAGCTTAAAGGAAAAGACTGAGATTGTGAAGAATTCCAGGTTTTGGCATCTAGGTAGTGCAAGGTATGGCTGTCAGTGATGGAGTGATAAAAATTTGGTGTGTGCAAGAAGTCAGAATTGGAAGACGAAACATTCTTTCACAATTGTATAGCTGGAGGAAGTGACTGAGATGAAGAATGGTGAGGTAATGGAGGGATTTAAATACAAGGGTGAGCATTTAAAAACTTTAAGGGAGTGGAAGTCAAAGTGGGTCAGTGAACATGCGTGAGTAGGAATCACTGAAGTCAGGTTGATGAGATGTTGGTTGAAGAGCACTGGAATAGCTGAACCTGACCATAGTATAAGAGCGTAGGTGAGTTTTTCGATAACTGGTGGGCTGGGGCAGGATGGTGATTGGTAATATCAGAGGATTTAACTCATGGTTTGGGTAAACGTTTGCTAGTTCATATTCATATGAAATATGACACCAGGGATGTGAACTGTCAAGTTTAATCTGGGCAGCTGCCAGCAACCAGGCTGCAATGTGTGTGTTTGCTGACCCACATTGGCCTTTGGTGGGGCAACACCTTGAATAAAAACAGTGTGTGTTGGAGAAACTGAGCAGGCCTGGAAACTTCTTCAGTTTTTGATTCAGATTTCCAGTATCTGCAGTATTTTGCTTTAAACACATTGAAGGATATCCCTCCTGATTTGGTTCTGCCTTTGTCCCTCACTTTGCTTCTTTTTAAGACACTCTTTAAAATTCACCTCTTTGACCAAGCCTATAATTGTCTGCCCAATTTTAAATTTTTTTTGATTCATTCTCGGGATGTGGGTGTTGCTGATTAGGCCAGTGTTAATTGTCCAGAGGACACTTAAGAGTACATCACATTGCTGTGGATCTGGAATCACATGTCAGTCAGACCAGGGAAGAACAGCAATTTCTTTCCCTTTTAAGAGCATTACTAAACTAGATGGGCAAGTAGCAATGGTTTCCTGGTCACTCTTTTTTAAAAAATAAAAAAAAAACCCTTTATTCCAGACTTTTATTGCGTTCATATTCTGCCATCTGCCATAGCACGATTGAAACCCAGCGCCTCAGAACATTGCCTAGATCTCTGGATTAATAGTCCAGCAATTTTTACCACTAGGTCATTGCCTCCCCTCTTGGCTGGTGACTTAGTATAAAATTTTATTTTGGGTGTAATGCTCCCCTGAAGTGTTTTGAGCCTGTTTAATGTATGAAAGGAACTTGCTTAAATACTAATTATCATTCTCTTTTGTGAGGGCTCCTTCTAAATGCATGTAGATATGTATTCTGTGTGTCAACTCTGCACTTTATTGAATGCTAGTTTGATGTCAAAGGCTGTTGTGCCTACTGGAGTTTAGCTCCATTATCCATGTTTAGACAAAAGATGCAAGGAGGTCAGGGGGTCAAATGGTCCTGGTAGAATGCAAACTGAGCACAAATAAGCAGCATCTTGCTTTGTAAGTATTGCCTTATAACACACCTGATGATCCTTACTTTGCTCATCATCCAAAGCAGACAAATGAGGCAGTTTGTCCTGCATTTTTGATAGGACAAACCTGAGTAGTTTTCCACATCGTTAGTTAAATGCTACATTCTAAGCGTGGTAGGACAGCCTTGAGAGGTGTGATTAGGTCTGGAGCATTTGGACCCGTAGCCAACGTTTTAGTGCCGCACAGCCAATAGATTATGTTAATTTCTTGACTCCTTGTGTAACATAGGGAGTATAGCAACTAACTTGTGCATTGCAAGGAGATGAATGAGTATTTAATGTATTGCAGTCCCGTTGCTTTGCAAGTCTTTTAGCTGTGAGGACTCCACTGATCTTTGCAGCATCATGGCCTTATTTTTAAATCAGCCCGAGAGTGCAGATGGGACGTCATCTCATTGCAGTGCCAGCTCAGCTGGAGAAAAAAACAGCCAGGAAGGTCAGTCTTTTTTAAATGTAGGAACAGAGGTAGGTCATTTGGCTCATTGAATCTGCTCTGCTATTCAATGAGGTTATAGAGTCATACAGCATGG